TGCACAGCGTCACCCTGCACAGGGAATGACCCAAGGAACCAGCAGTGCTGAGTGCCCGCTTTCAGGGCTTGCCCTCACAATCTCCCAGGGATGCAGCCAAGTGGTGGAATGGGTTCGAGAAGCCTCTTCTCCCAAGCCGCTGTGGCAGAGCAAAACCATCACGGCCTTCCATGTGCCTGTGACTTGGAGCCCTGGCCCCCGCCCCTCCTGCCTCTGGGAGGCGCCAAGTGGAGAGGGTGTGAGCGTGAGTGTGTGTCCATGATGTGGGTGCAGCACCAGAGCAGGGACGCTTTTCTACGAGGGAGTGGGACCCAGGGCATGTATGCACTCTTCTTGCTCCTCCTCACCCCCACACTCCCTGATGACCCTCTGTCTGTGGTCCTTTGCCTGGTGCCTGCGGCTGGCCATCTGCAGGGTGGAAGGGAGCCCTCCTGCCTGAGGAATAAGCTGGGCTAGGGGTGGGCTGGCTTTGTGAGAACAGAGTCTCGCACCTGGGGTGCCCAAGGTTCACACTGGAGGGGAGGCAGGGTGAAGAGGAATGTGTCTACCCTGACTTTTGTCCCAGGGGCCATGTTTGGGGGACAAGTCCAGGAATTTATCAGTACCCCTCTCCAAAGTGATCCTCCTATTGCTGTGGTTTTTTTTTTTTTTCTACCCTCCAAGGTCAGAGCACTTAGCACCCTGATTCTTCCCTCTCTCTCCTCCCAGCAGCCTCCCCCAGAGCTATTCACAGGCGGCTAAGGTGGACATGGGCTCACGGTTAGGGATAGGTTTTCAGCCCTATGAGAAGGGGCTTGTCCACTCGGGGGTGGGGGCTGGGACCAAGCCTGGGACACACTCAGGTTCCTCTGCGCGCTCAGCCCTGACCAGCCTGAACTCTCATTCTCCCTCTGGGAGTCAGGGGGACACGAGATGTGTGGAATTCCCTGAGAACACAGTCCCAGCATGAGGGTACAGGAGGGACCCAGGGGCCGGCCTGTGGGGACCTCAGCTGAGGCCATTTCTCTGGGTCTCCCAGGACAGAAGGCGGGCTCTGGGTGGGTAGGACAGAGGCTGGCTGAGTGGCTCTGGGGTCCAAGGCTCAAGAAGTACCCGTCCTAACCCCCAGAGCACAGGGAGCAGGCCACAGCACGCACAGGCTCTGAGGAATCCTCAGGACGCCTGGGTTGGCTGGGCCCAGTTCCCGTCAGCCCTCCAGGGCTCTGCTCTGGCCGGGGCTGCTCACAGAGCCGCTTTGTTCCCCAGGAGCCTCCTGAGCATTTAGCTTGTCTCGTCCTGCTGGTACATTCGTTGGCTGTGATTCCCACTGAAGACATCTTCAGGGGGCAGGCAGGGCGCCAGGCTTGCGGGCATGACCTGGACTGCTCCGCTGAGCAGGGAGCTCGTCAGCCTGCGATGTGATGTTGGGGCTGTTTGCCAAGGGCCGCAGCAAGTCTGCCTGGGAAGTTCTGACGCCACTGCTGGCCCTGGCGGGGAGGTCGAGAGCAGCATCTGCAGCTAGAGCACCCTGGGATTGCCTCCGGCTGCCCAGGAACATGCTGTGTGATTACAGGCAAGTTCTTGCACTTCTCTGAGTTCTCACTTTCCTCAACTGCAAAATGTGGGCAATAACAGCACCTATCTCAGAGTGAAGTTGGGAAGATTAAACAAGGTGAGGCATGAAAGCACTTAGCACAGGCCTGGCACTTTCCAGAGGGCCCACTCCATCAACACTGTCCTTTCTCTTATGGTCTCTCCCCAGCCAGCTTGAAATGTCCTCCCTTTCCTTCTCAGTTCTCCCTGTCCTTCAGCTCAACCCACACTTCCTCCATGAAGCCCGCCTTGATTGCTCTGATTGTGCCCACACTCTTGTGGTACTCGCTGGTGATGCCCACAGTTAGACACCGGCCACGCTGCTGTTAGGGATTTGGCTCTAAGGGTTTACAGGAGGCTCCTTCCTGGAGCACGGGATTTGGGTGTTTTGCTTCTGTTGTGTCCGTCATGGGCCAGAAGGTACTAAACAGACTAACAGGAGTGCTCACGTCTTGACTGGATAAACCCAGCCTGGGTCCTGCCCCAGGGCCGTTGGAAGAGCTGTCGTTGGTTGCGGTGTCGGCCATGCTCCGCTGAAGGTCCAGGTATTCTGAAGAAGGGTTTCAGTTGCAGCCACACCCAGCCAGCTGGTGAGCTCATGTTAATGGGACTTACCCACATTGTGCCGGCTTGCGCCCCTCCCTCTGACTCAGAGCCTGAATCCCCCCCAGTGCTGTTCCCCGTGGTTAGGTTTGGGAGTCTCCAGAGGTCTCTGGGCAGGTTTTCCTGCTCCAAACTTGTTCTTACTGTCTACTGCCCACCAGCCACGGAGAAAGGGCCCCTCCCGAGGATTCTGCTCTGCTGCCCCCAGGAGCTCCAGCCTTCGAGGGCCTGGTATCTCAGTGCACTCTGTGACCAGCAGCCACACCAGGTATCACACAGAAGTGTGGGTGGTGGCTTCTCTCTAACCTGTACCTCGCTGTGTTGCCCCCACCCTGACGGTGCTGGGGTGCAGACTGCTATCTGCCATCAGAGACACCATTACTAAGGTGGGGCACATGGTGACAAACTGGACTCTATTTCCCAGCGTCCCTTACAATGGGCTGTGGCCACATCACTGAGCCCTCACCAGTGCAACGCTGAGTAAGCTGAGCCACCTCCAGGTCTGGGCCTTAAGGTGTTGGGCATGCTTCCGCCATGCTCTCTCCTCTTCCTCTGGTGCTGGTGACCCAGCTTCCACCAGGCATGATGACAATGGCCAGGCACAGGGGAAACAACAGGTGGAAGGGACCTCAGCCCATGGATGACCTCATGAAGCGGAGGCTCTGCTGGTCTGGGCTACCCACCCTGAGACTGTTGTTTGAGAGAAAATCTCCTCTGTTGTGCAATCCGCTGTAACGAGATTCTCTTTTAACAGGAGTCTAGTCTTCAACATACATGTGGGCTCCAGGCGTGACGAGAGCACAGCCCCTCAGCTTCTGCTTATAGTCCTGCACCCCCTCCGCCCAAGGCCTGGACCGATCCCCACGGCCTGGCTCAGGATAGAGGCCACAGAGGCCCATTTCCTGGATTCTCGTCTGTCCCAGACTTGATGGCAGGGACTCTTCCTGCCCTGTAAGTAGAGGTCTGGAGGGCCTCTGATTCATCAGACACACCCAGACTCATCCCAGGTTAGGGTCAGCTGGGACACCCAGGCCTGCGCGTCTCTAAGAGCAGGAGCTTCATCACTGGTGCCCAGTCGTGGCGAGCCTTCCTGAACGAGGGCTCGGCCTCCTGCTGGCTCACCTCTGTCTCTGGCCTTGAGCGAGAAGACGGCAAAGGGCTGAGGCTCTTTAGGGTTAGGAGAGAACCCTGTGGGTTAGTAGCTTCTGGGCCCTTTTCTAGGCTCCCTGGGAACGGCAAGTGGGTGATGGATGAAGTTGTGCTACTAACTAAGGTTAAGAAAAATAGTGCTTCCTTACTCCGCACACCTGCAGAGCACTTCCAGTTTACAGAGCGCTTTCACACGCATTCTCTCATCTACTTGCTGGCCACAGCCCTGTGATGGGAACAGGGGCTATTCGTCCCCATGTTACACATGTGGAAACTGAGGTTGCTACCCACACCTGGAAATGCCCAGGCTTGCATCAGACCTCCGGGTTCCTGACTTCTGGCCTGTGCTCTCATTTCTATACCCCGCCAGACTGAAAAATGATGTGTTTTGTCTTATGCTCAGAAAGGGTTGCACATTGAGGACGACGTCGAGAAGAGGGCGTTGTGTTGACTTTGGGTGAGCCACTTGACCAACCCAGGCCTCAATTTCTCCTTCTGTAAATGGGAAGGACATCCCTGTCATTCCCAGACCAGGCAGAGAGTTTCTTGTTCTTCCCACACACCCTGTCCCCATCCAGTTCCTGCCCTTATTCCAAGTCTGCAAGGTAAATTGGTCTGTGGGCCTAGATTTGGCCACGGAAGTTGGGGTCTGGGGAGGAAGAGGCATCCTGGGGCTGCTGCCCCTAGACTGGCCCGCGTCGGGTGAACCACACCAGGCTGCCCCGGGAAGCGTCATCTGAGAGAAGTCCTCAGTCGGGGGAGACGAGGGGGGTGGGGACTCGCTCTTTCACCTGAGCGGCCAGCCATGCCTGGTGCTTGGGCGCAGTGCAGGATAAAGGCCCAGTGGAGAAGAAAGGTTGGTTTGACTCAGTGCTCCTGATTCTTCAGCCCCACCAATTACACAAACACAGCCTTGTGTACCTGACCCAAGCACACCCGTGTGTCAAGAGCCATGGACCCCAGGCCTCAGGTCCCATTGGCTTCTATAGAAGAGCAGCATGCAGGATTTAAGTTAGATACAAAGGAGAACTTCCTGGGGTGAGGGTGTTAGATGAAAGACAGGACAATGTGGAATCTTCTGAAGGAAGGGTGATGGTCTCTATAAATATGAAGGAAATACTTATCTCTCTGGCTGTGGGGCTGAGGGTGGGAGTAGGGGAGACAATTAAACCGGAATTTCCCAGAGGCAGCCGGATGAATAAGGTATGCAATCCCTACTAGTGAACACCTTCGAGCCCAGACAGAAGGAAAAGCAATAAAAGAACAAAGGAAGAGGTGCAGAGGAACCATACCTCTTACCTATTTCTGCACCTGGGAATGGGAGAGGAGGGGGGAATTCTGGCCTTGGAATACAGCATCAAGGGGGCTACTGCCTGCTGGGCAGAGTTATCAAGGAAGCAGGACTCTCTGGTCCTCAGAACAGGGAAATGGGTAGGAGCCTATGAGAGGCAGCATCTCCCTGCGTCCAGTGGGCTAATGACATGTGGAGTGGTCGTCAGGCCTGCCGGGCAAGTGAACTCAGGGCTCAGCCAGAGGGGAAGCTGGCGAGGAGAGCTGGAAGGGGTGCTGTCTCCACGGCTCACTCAGCCGGGATGCACCAGACCTGGCAAGAGGGCCGGAGGGGCCTAAGGCAGTGGGATGGTTCCCTGACCCTTTAATTCTTTGTATTTCCACAGTTTGTTATGAAAATTTAAAACCTGCAGAACAGCTGAAAGACCTCCACAGTGAGCACCACACGCCCACCACCTCGTGCCACCGTGACGTTTTGTTGGGTGCTGTGTCACAGTCTCTCCAACTCTCCGTCCCTCTCTCCGTCCGTCCACCCCTCTTATTTTCGGACGCCCTCCTCAGTGCGGTGCAGGCATCCGTGCCCGTCTAGGCCAGCACTTCCGCATCACGTCGTTAACAGAGTTCAATGTTTGTCACAGCTGTTTGTCTCTCTTGAGGTGAGCTTTACACACGATGACACACGCGAATCTCAGGTGTACCATGTGTGAGTTCTGATAATGCCCGCACCCATCGAGGGACCGAGCATGGTGATGACTCCAGAAAGACCCCTCATGCCGCTTCCCAGCGAATCCCCACCCCACCCCACCCCACCCCACCCCACAGCCTTCTGAGATTGCCTCCCACAGGTTGGTCTTGCCTGTTCTGTCCACTCACCCTGTGGAGGAAGTCACACAACGTGCTCTCGGGGAGGCTTCTTTCCCTCAGCATAATGACTCCCGCATCCTCCGGGCAAGAGTCTGCTATACATAAAGTCAGACTTATTGTCAGACAAGAAACATGTCCCCAAATCTAATCTTCGCTCAGCGCTGGGCAGCTGTGCTTTCAAGGGCGTGCTCGGCGCCTTGGTGTGCCCCTTCCGTGCGTCCTTGACCAGCGGGAGGCAGCAGGCTGGCTGGCGAGGCCTGTGAGGCATGCAAGGTTCCCAGCGCCCAGCCTCCTCTCTCTGCTGCGACTGAATGGCCCTTTGGGGCACCCCCACCCCTTATATCTTCCTCCCACTCAGGCACTGTGGGCTCTGCCTTCGTCACACCCTCCCCACCCGCTAACCCGACCCAGGAGGATCTGACAGCCAGGCGTTTACCCTAGATAACTGATAGTGCAGCTGCACTGTAACACACTGCCTCCCACTGAGGGGCTGCCCCCGCCCGGCACTGACTGTTCCTGCTTTCGTCTCCAAATGGGCCTCATAGCTCCCCAGCTCTGTGCCCCTCCGACTTCCACTGAGGCTCCCTCAGGACAGGGAGCCCTGACCGCGTCCCCACGGGGGCCTGAAGGCGTAACTCGGCAGTGTGCAGTGGGCCTGGCGTTTCTTTAAAAAGATGTCATATGGGGCTGGCTCCGTGGCCGAGTGGTTAAGTTTGCGTGCTCCGCTGCGGCGGCCCAGGGTTCGGATCCTGGGCGCGGACATGGCACCGCTCGTTGAGGCGACGTCCCACATCCCACAACTAGAAGGACCTGCAACTAAGATATACAACTGTGTACAGCGGGGTTTGGGGAGATAAAGCAGGAAAAAAAAAAAAAAGATGTCATAGGTCATTCCTAGAATCAACCCACAGTTACAACACAGCTGACTTAAAACTTGTTGCTATAAAAGTAATGCTGTGCTGACAGAAACAGGGAGGGGGATGACATGTCAGGTGCCAGTTCCACATCCTTCCTGGAGGGGCGGCCACAGCCACTATCTAGGGCTGACATGTGAAAAACAATCATACTAAATAAAGGTTTAAATATATTGAAAAGATCCAAGGACAGCTGTCGGAAGACCCCAAATAAACAAATATTAGGAAAGTGGGGAGGGAGATGGGTACAGTTTCAGAAGTGTCACTGAAGAATCGTATGTTTCTTCTAAAGAGCACATGAATGAGGCATCCCCCACACGCCATCTTCAGGTTTATTTGTAACATGAAGATCCCCGTTCCCCAGCACCCTGCCAAATCTCGGAGTAAAGCGAGGCTCTGGGATACACACCACGTCTCTCCCTTGGCGTGGGGTCTCTGTGCCCCGCCCCCAGCTCACCCTAGGTAGAGAGGCACAGCCTTTGGCAAAGGCCTTTGAAGCACTGGTGGGAATTGGGAAATAGCATGGGGGTCCGAAGGACCCAGAAAGTCACTCTAAGTCCTTTCTGCTGACCCTGAAGGGAAAGCCAAGTTGGTCCTTTCATCAGGACAATGGTTGTGGGACGGGGTGCTAAGCAGGCTGGACTCCTCTTTGCAACCCCCACCACGCCCCCGCAGCCTCTGCTTCTGGGGAGACTGAATGAGCTGTGGGAAGCCTGCTTCTGAAACGACAGGCCCAGGTTCTCTCCTGACAGGCTCTCTTAGCATCGGGAGGCCACCGCGAGCGGGCACAGACCTACCTGCCGTCACCTCTGCCCTCCAGCCCTTCCCTTCTCAGCCCTGGGTTCTCCCTCTCCCGTCCTAACCCAGCCCCTATCCTCATCTGAACCACAATTAGTTTTCTTCAACTTGGCTGTACTTTAGAACCACCTGGAGGATTTAAAAAATCAATGTACAGATCCTCAGCCCTTGTCCCTATTCAGATTCACTGTGTCTTGGTGGGACCTGGAAATGAGTATTTTATAAAAGCTCCGCAGACGATTCAGAGACACAGCTAGGTGAGGGAAACCCTGCCTGACCCCAAATCCTGCCTTCTTTCCCTCCAGCCTCCCAAATAGGTGTTCTGCTTTCTGGCACAAATGATGTGATTTTGATTGATAACTGATGATTTTTCATATCACCACTTTTAAAATCAAACATTCTCTGAAACATCCCTCTGTCTCCTGTGCTGTTTCCATACTGACACTGATAGCCATCGTCCTCGTCATCGGCGGTGGCACTGCACAAGACTTGTCCCTGTCTCCTGGAGCTGCTTCTCATCTACCGAGGCTCTGGAAGGCAGACCTCCCCTCAGAGGAGAGAGAGCTGCTCCACATTGTTCTAGCAGAAAGGGAAGGGGGCGAAAAGGGGGCTGGGGACTCTAGTCGCAGCCCCAAACCACACTCTTCCTCTGGACAACTGGCTTCTCCCATTCTTGTTTTCTGGGAGACTCTCCACAGGCCCCAAAGGGAGGAGGGAGTGTTGGTAATGCACACCAACCGGTACCCTGACCTGTCCCCAGGCACCCCTCTCCTTTCTGAGCTCTTTAAGCAGCGGAACCCATAATACTATCTTGGTCTGGGATCTGCCCAGAGAAAAACATGCACCAGCAAACCTGTACTAATTTATTGGGACCTAACCCCTCCTAGCCTTTCCAGAGCATTCCCAGTAGGGGGGGGAAAAAGAAAGCTATAGGAAGAGGGTGAGCCTTGCCCAACCCCAAAGTTCCCAATGCCGTGGAGGAGATGCTACTCTGGACTGGGCGCATTGTGGGGCCGCAACCGCAGCCACGTCCCGCCGGCCCTCCGGATTGGTGAAGGGACTGTAAACGTGTGTGCGTTTGAACGATACACTTGAGTTACAGCCTGCAAGGTACTTCCTCCTTCTCTGGCAAAGGACAAAGAGAGGAAGATCTTGTTAATAGAGGGTTTAAAAAAATGACGTCTATAAAAAACTCCTTTGAAAGGTCAATAAGATCAAAGATTTTTTTTTTGCAAATGACCTTGTTCAAAGTACTTCAGGTATTTTGTGCTTCACCGGTCTAGCCCAGGTCCAGGTGGAACAGGGACAGTGGCCAAGAGAAACACCCTGATTAGGAGCCTGGAACCCCTGATGCTGCCAGTGGAGCTGCCTCTTGGCCTCGCCTTCGCATGGCTTCCAGCCTGAAGGGAAACGGGGGCCTTAGCCGGGGAGCCCCAGAGCCCCAAGGACCCACTCACTCCCTAGAGCTGTAGCTGAGCTGATGGACATTCTCCCTGGGCTGCCCTGTGGCTTCCCAGGAAAAGACCCAATCAATTAGCACTCCAGGCCTTGCCTGGGGGCCAGAGTCAGACCCAGTGCTTCTCCAGGCCCCGGGGACTTTCCACAGCTCCCTGTGTTTTCTCCTCTACAGCTAGCAGCCTCCTCTCCCATTTTATGCTCTTCAAACACTAAGCTTCTTAAAGTTCCATCATACACAGAACTCTATGTATGTTAATTTTTTTCTGCTTATGAAGTAATTCTTGCTCATTGTAAAACTTTCAAATAAAATAGAAATGTGCAAATACAAAAGCAAAAGCCTCCATAATCTAATTTTCTTGAGATGACCAGCCTTAGCAGTTGAGCATACACCCTTCCAGATCTTTCTCTAAGCATGCACAGCTTGGATGTGCCCTGCTATTTTCTCCCCACACCTTTGCTCGTGCTGTCTACTCCTGCTTCCGAGAATGCCCTTTCTTCGCTTTGGCTGGGCTTGCTTCTACACATTCTTCCGAACCCAGCCCACTTTCTCCTTCTGTCACCCCCCAGCCTAGACCTGGTGCCCTTCCCCAGGCCCCTTGAGCGCCTGCACAGCTTTGTCATAGCCCCAAGCACAATGAATGACCAACTCCTTGCTGATGTGTCTGTCTCCCCAACTAGAATGTGGATTAGTGGCCAAGAGGTGAGGGCCAGGAAGGACCCTAGCCCCACTAGGAGCCCCACGCCCTCTGGCTTTGCTGGGCTATCCTATTAATTTTAGCGTCCTCAGTGCCTAGCACCCTGCCTGGCACATCGTTGGCACTCAACAGGTGTTTGTTGAATGAGCAAGTGAGTGAATGAGTAAAATCTGGGTCACAGCAGCCTGTCCCCATCTTGGGACTTTTATATACAGAAGAGGGCTACAGGGAGAGGCAAGTGCCCAAGAACAGATCTGCGTGTCGCCAAGTCCCAAGGACTGCTACAAATTTACAGTAGTTGTGTAACTTTGAGGACAGTCCCCTCAGGATGTCGTGAGGGTAAGAATTTATGAAATGAGGTTCTCTCCCACCTCCCACCACGCCCACTCTCCCACTCCTGCTTAGGAGGCAAAGGGCCGTTTCCCCTCAAACACAATGAAATCCAAAGAGCTCAGGTCTCTAATAGAGCTTGTCATGATAGGCTCCCCAGGGACAGAGCTCCAGCTGTGCCAGCTGTGTGACCTTAGGCAGGTGCCATAACCCCTCTGAGCCTCTTTCCACAACAGTGAAGTTGGACTGTTGCTAATAACACCTACCTCACAGGTTAGAGAAGACGCAAAGAAATATGAGTTACTAACCAGAGCGCTTTGTAAATTCTATAACTCTTTATCCTGTCCCCCTCCCCGTGGAGTCAGAGTCAGATCAGGGAGCTAGGAAAGCTGGACTCCAGCTCTGCCCCTCGCTCCCGAGGTGCGATTGGGCAGGCCACTTCCTGTTTCTGCCTCTGTAAGGTGGCCGTGGGAGGAGGAAGTGGCACTAAATGGTCCCTAAGTCCCCTCCCATCTCTAATATTCTGTGTTACCCACAAAATGTCCCTGCTCCTCACACTATCGTCTGGCTGTGAGCACCAAGGTCTTTGCACCACCAGGGAGGGTGTCTTTCACCAAAGCCCCTGCACACGAATGGCGAGCACTGCGATTGGCAAGCCACCCCGAGAATGCCCCCTACCCTCAATGTCTGTGCTGGGCCCCACGATGCCACCCAACACAGCAAAATCCTCAGCCAGTTTCTAAGACCTCAGAGAGCAACGGATTTGGGAGGGGTTTTGCAATGTGTCTTTCATGACATTTGACTTTTTTGGAACCTGATTGGGATCAGACAGGCAGGTCCCAGCGTTTGCTCTTGGCGAGTGTAGGGTCTAGGTGAAAGGAGAAGGCAGACAGTGTCTCTGGTCTGGGGATCGATGGAAGAACTCATTTCCGGCTGCAGCCTGCGGGTCTGGGAGACGCTAGGATCCGGGTATGGAGAGGGAGGTGTGAGGATGGGCGCAGAGGGTAGGGTGTCTGAGGCTGAGCAGGCCATGTCTAGCCTGCGGAACACACATTGGACTGATCCAGCACTCCCTTTCTGGGGAGGACGGCACACCACCCAAAAGGAGGACAATGGTGAGGACGCCTTTCTTTGGAAGTCACCTCCTCCAGCACCAGAGAAGCTGAATGGATGCCTCTTTCGTTGTTTCTCTGGGTGGGGCTGTGGTCAGAACAGAGAGAACCTGAAAAGTCCTGTCTCATGCTGGGCGCCCCTGTGCAGTGTGTCTCACCTGATCCTCGCAGGCAGGTGCTCTGGGAGGTGGGGATTCTTAGTCCCACTTCACAGATGAAGACACCGGGGCTAGGAAAGGCCAGGAGACTCCCCCAGCTCACACTGCTAGTTAGTGGCGGAGCCGGAATTCGCCGGCCAGGCCTCCCGGCTGTAAGTCCTGAACACGAGGCTGCCCGAACTCTCGGGAGCTCCCCTGGGTGGGGTCCATTTGCACAGAGCCTGAATGAATTGAGGCGTCGGGACTG